TTTCTCACGTCAGTCAAAAGTCAAAACTCTCTTCGTACTCCCTTTCTACGAAAAACTGAAGCAATCGAAAGCATTCTGAGGGTAGCAAGCATCAACATCAGTCAAAACGCTGGTAAGACTGTAGCCGACTCCCTTATTTTAAGACTGCTTACAAGCAAGCTATTGGTAGACTTGACTCCCTGGTATGCTCACATTAATTTGCCATCGAAACGGATGAACGAATCGTAAAGAGGCCAACTGACCTACTGGCGGAATCGTATGCTGCTTTCCACAGCTAAACATGTAAGGCTCAATACCTTCTAAAATGTTTTTCACGCAAGACTTCTTAAAATTTAATCTTGATGCTTCGTAAAATGTTTTATCATTTAATATTGGTAGTGTGAGGCAAAAAAGCCAATAATTTTTTCTAACTGTTTTTCCCGCACGCCTTAAACTCCAATGCAATTAAACTTGTGATGGCTGGTTTTAGAAACAATTAGCCATGCTCAATTAACAATAAGGATATTTTGATGTGGCAAATACATTAAAATTCCTTCCTTTAGCGACCCGTTTAATCTGATTTTTTTTTGCGAGAACGAAGAAATCTTTATAAATTACTTTATAATTAAGACGAATCAAATACAGTTCAGATTAGATATAAAAGTACACAAAAAATCTTGTAGCATAATGGTGAACTAAACATCGATTGTCAATCTGTAACTCAACAGCGTTATACAAAAATCCTCCAAAATGAGGACAAATTTATCTTGTCAAATGAAACTTAAGCTGTCCCCTGCCTTCAAAAATGTTAAAGATCAAATTTTTTCATTTCAAAAATGTGTCAAAAAATCCTTCGCTAACCTTATCCCTCTGTCGATGATAACTCATCCCGATAAGGCAAATGCACCCGTGCCCCGTGAATGCGCCGCCAAGCCATGGTACGACAGAACAATACGTAACATATACTAGCTGTGCCTTCAAATAGCTGCAGCGTTCCACGCAAGGCATTATTCTTTAACTTTGACGACCGAATAAACACATGAAAATTACTGGAACGAGCGGAACATCATCCAGCTTCGCCACTTTTCGCAAGCACCCTATAAATTGCGCGTGAATTCATGGGCGAAATCTGAATTTTCAAATTAAAAAAAAAAAGCAGTGAACTTGCTCCGCCGGTTTTTCCAAAATAAAATAGTAAAAATATTTTGATGAATTAAATCTCGTCAAAAGTTAAAACTCTTTCAGTATTCGTTCTCTTAACACAGGCTGGAACGCACCAGGCGGGCCGGTGCGGTTATGCGTTTTTGCACTTTTCGTGCCGTAGCAAGATCGTAAGGAATCAAAGTAGCCAACTCTGTGAAACACTGGCCCTCGAAGTTCGGGAAGTTAATTGTGCAGCTATGTGGTTTGTCAGTTGTAGGCGTCGGCTTCAGTGACCCAACAAATGGAAAGTTGCTGGTCCGCAAAAAAAGGCCACACAAGAAGAGTTAAGTTTAAAATCTTTTAGTCTCACATGAGCAGGAAACATTCCCTTAAAACCAAAGCCTTCAGCTTTTCCCATTCCTGAGTAGCAGTTTCCCCATCAAAATTTTCACGTGTCCGTACATGAGTACTGGACAGTCCTAAGGAGATAATTTAAAATCTTTTGGTCATACACGAGTGGGGAATATTACCCTAAATTTTCAGCTTTCTAGCTTTTCCCGTTACCGAGTTAGTAATTTTCGCGCCAAATTTCCACGCTCTCGTATGC